TATATTGGTCCAAACTCAATGCTGATAATCAACGATGCTTGGTGAAAGGAGAAAGTGTGCCCACAACTTTGCCCGCCGGTTTTCAGACGAACGCACGACTTGGGGGTCCGAGACAGACAAAAGTTCTTTGATCAAAATTCCAACATATTAATGCCACGGTTCAATCGCTTTCTCGGTGTGCTTGAACTGCCAAAAGGGAATTCATTTTCCCTTTTCAATATGTGAGAGGAACTAGTTGACTAAAGAACCATTGAGGATCACTGGACGTGACTTTCTGGGCCGACGTCAGCTGAAATCTACAACACAAATCTTTTCTTGCTCTTCTATTTTCACACACACTGGCACTTTTGATATCAGACACTGAGTACAGAGTGCATCACACAATGTTATGCAGAGGATGGAATGTCTTGTCTATGTCATCTGTGAGATAATGAAACAGTCACAATGTTTTGATTACAAATAGTCCCTCTTGTCTCATACGCTGCCACCAGGATTCTACTTTCTAGCCATCCTTCTCATAAGATTGTCGGCCTCGTAAGCTAAAGATTAAAGTGATGGTGTATTTTGTCATCACTCGCTTTTGAATTCACCTGAAAGGCCATGGAGAGCAAGGCTGCTGACAAGCCGGCCCTCTTAGCTTCAACGACATTTCATCCTGCATAAACGTCAGAGAGACACCTCCACCATCCCACACAATGCGACATACTTGCTGGCTGAAGGAATAATTGGTGCGAAAGATCCCAAAGAATACAAAACGATATATTCTTGGAGGACGACGGGCCCGGATTGGCCGTTCGGGCGCACGTTAATTTAAGTCGTACTTTGTCAGCCTCGTCGACTTCCACCAAATTTTGAACGGGCCGAATTATTACATTCCCGGAACCGCTCTAATTTCTTTATGCCTCCCTCCAGTCCGTCCTTTCTGCCTTCTCCAATGTCCTCTCCCGACAAGAGCCCAAAGTACACTTCAATCGACATTCGGAATGAAACGTACGAGCTCAACGCACAGCAACCAAACGACTACGATGACGACGACTTGGAAGATGTGTTTTCTGAATATGATCGAATGGTGAATGCAAGAAAAACCAAATGGGTTGGTACATCTTCTCACTCAACTCATTGTCTATGCCTCAGTACAACTTTTCCTCACAAGGAATGATACGTTCGTACATATTGTTAACGTCATCGATGTTAGGACGAAGCGAGCGGGTTCCTGCGGCATTATTGGAAATGGATTGCAATTGGAGGCGGATGTTTAATCTTTGTGATAGTTATTACCTCCCGTTCCTCAGCTAGCAATATTATAACTGAACCAAAAGCTCCAAATACGGGTAAATTTCTACATTGGTTATACTCCACTCGCGTTGATCCGTTCAGAAAGATTCACATGTGGAAATTGCTCTGAATATATTTTTGTAACCTTCTTGCTTTCTATCAGTTAATGGTACCGAACTCCCACCTTTCGCCTTTGATGATTTATTTTACGGTCAATTCTATCCAAGAACAGAAAATGTTGAATGGATTGCTCGCTCCTCCAATACTGAGGGTCAAGGCCACAAAGGAAGCGAAGGTGATCTAATATACATGGAAGATAACGAGATTAAGATAGAGCATGTAGAAACTAAAGAGCACACTGTTTTAGCAGTAAATCCTCTGAAAGATGTAAGTTCTACGGCGTTGGCATCAATTTGTGGCAATCAAGTTTTAGGGATCCCTTATTAACCGTGACCTTGTAAACAGCCAAATGGTGCAACTTTACCATTACCCCGCGATTTCAAACTATCTGCAGATCACAAATATCTTATGTTCAAAACTCAGACTCACAAAGTACGTACTGAGTCAATGATATATTTTGGGAGCCGCAAGTAGTATTTCTCTTACCAATATGTTATTTTTACTCGTACAGAAATGGCGACATTCTAGCGTTTCAGAATATATTATATATGACGTTGAAAAGAAATCGACAAAGTTTTTGACGACATCTGGGTCAAGACGGTCTACCCAGTCCGCACAGTGGAGTCCTACCGGGCACAGTGTGGTATGTTCTTTCTTCTCCAGCTGCTAATGCAAGAGATCTTTGAAAAGTGATAATGGGGTGTTAATCAATGTTTGTCTCTTCAAAGGCTTTTATTCGTGATAACGACTTGTACGTCAGCCTTGATTTAGAGAAAGAAATTCGAATCACAAACGATGGATCAGCAAATGTGATGAATGGAATAGCTGACTGGGTTTATGGTACGATTTTTGATAAATTAATCTATTTCGTTTTTGAGGAGTATATATTAACAACTTTTATGAACATTATATAGAGGGTACGTCAACGGCAACATAATCAAATTCTCGTGTATTCCGTAGTCTCATTTAAGAAATTTATTTTTAGAGGAAATCTTGGGTGAATCAAATGCGTTCTACTGGTCTCCCGATGGAAAACATATCGCTTATTTCAAATATAACGATACTGAAGTTCCGGTTTACAAGTTTCCTTATTATTATAATCACACGGCATTTGTTGATTCGCCCTATCCTGAGGAAATAGAAATCAAGTATCCAAAGGTACCATCTGATTTTGTGCAGACTTAAAATGATAGACTGACTTTTCATTTTTCCGATGTTTGCATTTAAATGTTTAGCCCGGAGCTAAGAACCCTGTCGCTACTCTTCATCTATATTCTGTTCATGCAAATGCCGGGAATACTACAACGAATGCCACCACTGTCAAATTTCCTGCGAATATCAGTTTTTCGGATGATCAGCGCATCTTTACTGATTTAAAATGGATTGACAACTCTTCGTTGTTGGTGAAAGTCATGAATCGAGTACAGGATAATTGCCGCTGCATTGCTGTTAAAGTTTCCGATGATGAAAAGGTAGAACCGACAGCAGAAATGGTCCGAGAAGAAAATGTCAAAGATAAGAACCAATGGGTTCGAATTGTATGTTAATTCTAGAATTATTTAGTACTGCTTCCAAGGTTTACTTATGAATTCCGTTATCGGTTTATGGTTTCTTGTAGCATCACCAAGTTACTCCTCTTCCGGTGTTACCCTCAAATGCTCAGCCTTCTTATATTGATATGATTCCGCATAATGGCTACATTCATCTCGCCTGGTTCAAATCAGTCAAAGAAAAAGAACCAGTGTTCTTGACTTCTGGTGATTGGGAAGTAACAGATATCAAGGGATTGGATACTGAGAAAGGATTAGTGTACGTAGAGATCGCTTCAACTTCTCGCCACAAGACATATGCATGTGAAAGGAAAATATGATTAATCGTCTATTGACTATATAGGTATTTCTTATCCACGAAGAATGGATCGATCCATCGAAACCTTTACAGTGTTTCAATTTCTACTACCCCCGTCATGACAGCCGTTACTAGTCATTTACCAGTCGGTTATTACGATGTCAAAATGTCACCGGGCGGTAAATATTATTGGTTGAATCATCAAGGGCCGGAAGTCCCATGGCAAACTATCTTTAAAGTCGGAGATAAAAGTATGTCTCGTGTCTGCATTGTTTTTATCAGTGCTGACATATTAACCTGTCCTACTTGGTAGACTTTTCATTTCCTTTGAACGATAATGCGGCAGTTAAAGAGGCTATGAAATCTAGAGCTATGCCAACTAAAAAACAATTAACAATTCCTGTCGACAACGTTGAAATGAACGCAGTGATGTATCTACCGCCCAATTTCAATGAGTCCAGGAAATATCCTGTATTCATGAAAGTGTACGTATGAACGCTATCTGATTTTAGCGACACAAAAATTGAAGCTTTATACCGAGCTTTCACTAACACTACTCAATTATCAGTTATGGTGGCCCGACCTCCCAACTTGTAACCTCCAAGACCGAAATTGACATACATACCTACCTCACGTCCTCTCTCGATATTATCTCCGTCATTGTAGATAACCGAGGAACAGGTTTCAAAGGTAACGATTTCGCCATGACGACTCGTAAACGATTGGGTCAAGTTGAAGTCCAAGATCAGATTCATGCTGCCAAATGGTTGGGTAATTTGACTTATGTCGATGCTAGTAGAATTGGAATCTGGGGTTGGAGCTACGGTGGTTATTTGAGTTCTAAAATTATCGAAGCTAATAACGAAGGTGTATTTAAGTTTGGAGTTGCGGTTGCTCCTGTGACAGATTGGAGATTCTATGGTTTGTGACTTTTGCACCTTGCTGTTTGTACTAAGGAGTACAAAACAATTGTAGTGTTCGGTATAGTTAACTGGATTTCTGCTACTTAGATTCAATGTATACGGAACGTTATATGCTTACTCCGCAAGAAAATCATGACGGATACGGACATTCTGCCGTTACCAAAATGGATGCTTTCAAGAAATCCAAATTCTTGTTAATTCACGGGACCGGAGATGGTATGAATGATTGTTTTGTACCTCAACATTCTAGTCGTGCCTGTCCTCCCTAACCCTTACACTATTTCTTCTGTCGTTTAAATAGATAACGTACATTTCCAACAAACTATATCTCTTGTTCGGAAATTTCAATTAGCCGGAGTCCATACCTACCGTTTACAAATTTACCCCGACTCAGATCACTCCATGTCATTCAACAATGCGTATAAAGAATTACTTACCTTATTGAGTAACTTTGTTTGGGATAATTTGAAACCAAACGGCACCGACGCGGCCAGTCTGAGTGATAGAGTTCCTAAACGAATGTTTAAATTCTAAACCCCGTTGAGAGTATCTTTTATATTTATATGTGCTACGTTTGTGAATTGCAAACCGCAGAAAGCATGCTTTTCTTATTTGTATTTGGAAAAAAAAGTGAAAAAGTCAATGTAATATATGTTAATATTGTCAATAAACATGAATTTATGAAATACTCGACGTAAACATTTAATTCTGATCTGTGTAACTCTTCAAAAAGATTGCTATACTACAGAAATCTACTTTCAGCGATGCAACTGGATACACATTGAGGCCTCCGCCCTGCAGAATATGAAACCGGCAAAAGAAAAAAATAAACGCTTCGGTTGCCTGGATTCGAACCAGGGTTGTCACGGCCACAACGTGAAGTACTAACCACTATACGACAACCGATTTGTTATGACTTGCTAAAATAATAAATATATTGTGATTGTAATTCACTTTCAACAACAAGAATAGCGATCGCCAAAAAATCGCGACCCAGAAATTATAATAAGAGCCGAGTCGTCTTTACATAATTAATATATAACAATTCCGGATTCTACTGTGTCCGTAGACTTAGGCATTGAAAAGAGCACTACACTTGAATAACATGAATCCAGCTTTAACTAACTAACCAAACAGTAGGAAGAAGTACAGACAACAATCATGATTGACTTTGTTTGATGAAAATTGTCGAAACAAAGGCAACATTCGAATGAGTTGATTGGTAATTGCGTCATTATTATTTTGTAACCTTCAATAAATCTACGGAACGAATTTGTCGTTGTCAGTTGAACATGAGGAATCAGATTATAGTTTATGAACAGAGACAGGTTGAATTCAATTTGTGATGATATTACAGACAGTACTTGATGGAATAATCAGCCGAAACAAATCATGCCGTTTCATGATGTATTCTTGAAAATGTTTTCGTCCGACTTGGTTTCTGAAGGGATGTAAAGAAGTCCCATTATCAGGGAAAAACAACAGTGGTTGATTGGAGCAAAACTGCGCAGTCTTAAAGTATTATTGTATATGTTCCAGGCACAAAAAAGTTCACTTTATAATGTCGATCTTGGAGTTGCCCAAACCAAAATTAAGTTTCGCATATTCCTGTGCAGCCAATCAACACATTACCGCCGAACCGTTCTTTCCAATACTTGCTTAGTTCTCTTACATCTTTGACCTCACTAAAGGTGATTCCTCCGCCAACCATAAATATGATGACAACTTTATTGTTCAATGGATTCGGAGGTGTTGACGAGTTTGCAGAAGGTGGAGAAAGCGGAGAGCCAGGAGTTGACAGTAGTCTGTGTTGAATGCGATGAAAGATGTCAGGGAGGCAAAAGAAAATCCTTAAGAAGGAACTCAGCTTTGAACTTACCCCGCGAATCCACCCAAGTATCCCTTCAACATGTTACCCAGCTCCGTGTCGCTCTTTCCGCCGACATACTTTAAATCATTTGAGAGTTGTGACCATGATACAGCCGGAGAGTTTGATTCGATCGTACCAAATAAATCGCTTAGAACTGATCGAATAAGCGGAGTGTACGAGGAGGTACTTGAAACTGTATTGTCAGGCGTTTGAAGATTTCTACAAAAATAAAAGCAGAGGAAGGAGTAGGGACCGGGGAAATTAGAAAACTAGGATCTAGTATTTAGCGCAATTTGAGCTTTACAAAGAATGAACAACTTTACCTGTAAACAGTCAATCCGGCCTTCGATCTTGCTTTCGCAACTTCGTCCAATATTGAGAAATACCATCGTAAATAATCGCAAGCTATGACGTATAATTTCTTTTGAACCGGGTTCAGATCGGATGTAGGATCTAAATCCAATGTATCATCGTCTAAGTCCCACCCACTTTCTCCATCATCCGCATTCCCTGTTTCTTGGACCACTTCGTCTACATTCAAGGCATCGTTCTTCTTTTTGTTACTTCCGTCCTCATCGTCTTGGTTTTCCGACAAAATGATATTTGATTTTTCGCCCACTTCCCTCACAATACCTCTTGCCAACAACGAGACCAACACTTCTTTTAGTTGTTCTCCTTCATCGTTAATCAATTTATCCCCCAAAAACGAATACACCATTTCCAAGACTTTAAGGAAACTAGACACAGGGTATTTGGATTTTGATTCGACTGAAAAAGGGAACAGAGATGTTACTTGATTTTTCAAAGTTCCAATCGGATCAGAACACTCTGAAGATGAAAGGGAAAGAAGAAGTATTTTTTCTAGGGACTGAAACGACTCATAGTTTTGATTTTGACTGCAAGGAAACAAATCAATCGATTGACATCAATATCTCTGATTCCGTGAAAACATTCAGAAGAACAATGTGTGAACATACCTTTCATTCAAACATTCCACGACCCCCTGTATGACTTCCAACAACTTCCCTCCTTTCTCTAACGAGTTATCCGGATCAGAAGAAACAAAGCCTGTCAATAGCTTCGTCAATTGATTCAAACTGACTTTTCCCAATATTCTCGGTAGTTTGACAGGCGACGCATGAGACGTTATCAAATCAATGATTCGAGAGCTAAAAAGTCGAACGTTCAGCTTTACTTTTGAAAACATCTGAGTATTAAGTCGAGCAAACAAACCGAACAGAAGTCAACGAATCTTTTTGCGGAAGGTTTATCATGTCATCGAATAAATTAATAATCTGAGGATCTTGATGATGTCTAAGGGAGACTGTGCGGAAATATGCGAAAAACGTGTTGGCCAACATAAATTGTCAATTCATTAGGAATATTACGTACCACGCATATGAGGATCCGACAAGGACGCTGATAAAATTTTCCGGGACGAATCATCAATAAGTGGATCAAGCGAAATATACACCTCCGATCCCCGTCTTTCCTCGTTTAATTCAGGATAAAGGTCCAGCAAGGTTTCTGTATAAGCGTCATTGCTTTTGATTCCGTCCTTCTTGCTTTTAACTTGTCGAGGAAGTAACTTAAATATCTGATCCATCAGATTGTCGGAGTGAATATTTGGGGTGACAAGGTCTAGGCTCTACAAATGCATAAATTGGTAAGAATTTACGGAGAGGGAGCGCGGGAATGAGAACACTGCATACTCTATCCATTAATATCAATGTCGCTTCAGCTTTGCCAGCATCAGGAGACTGAAGTTTAAGTCGCAGATTATGCATGGTTTTCCCAACGTAGCTCGATGAAGTACCTTGTAAACGCAATTAGTTCACATCGCTAGGACTCAATCATAGTGCACTGAATAGTATTTGATCATACCCATGGCATAGATTGAAGGAATCAAGTTCATTCCCTCAAACATGACAAACAATTCTTTCGCCAAATCGTGAAATGATTGTTGCAATGGAATAGTATCTTGCATCTGCTGAAACTTGGCCGAAGAATCTACCTGCAAGCTTTTTAGAGCCACTAGATCCTGAACTATAAAAATCCAATTCAGTGGAAGCAAATCTAGGTGAACTTCTAATGCATCTTCACTAGGTAAGACTCTCTTCATATTTTTATATCCCATCATCATCCATGATGTGATCTTGGACGTCAACAATTCAGGATCCGAGTGCTGGTCAAAACTACTGTCGATATCAACTTCGGGATCATTGATGCTGGCCAGGGTCGAAGGAGGTAAACGTATAGGAGAAGAGACCACAATGGATACTTTGCTATAGACATCAGATGACAAAATGTGTTTTATGTGGTCCAGATAGTCCGAAATATGTGATGAGATGAGGATGAGAAGCTTGTCTGAATCAGGAACGCTGAAAACAAGGTTAAATCCGAGTCAGTATAAGGAAGTAAACACATCTATCCAAATTCCTCCGTACCTGAGTTTGTCATCATTCCTTTGGAGTGACAACTCTGACGACTTGACAATTGATTTTATATTCCAAGCGCCAGCGTCCAAGAAAACTGATAGGCCGTCAGGAAGAGATGACCGGAGAACCGCGGCGAACTGGGAGTCGATATAGACGGAAGCATCCGGTATGAGTGGGCCAACACTTTCTTCAAAAAGGACAGATGCACGGGAAAGAGGAGATTGAAAGCTAGGATGAGCAGAAGACGACATCTCATCCACAGCGCAATCAATGAGTGTAATGAATTCAACTGAGCTGGTCGTCGCAGATTGTCATTTTCGCGCTTTAGGGGAATTTGTTAAGGACATGTACCATTTTATTACTTAGTATATGATAGATCCAGTACTGGATTACTTTGAATTCGGTACCTCTATGTCAGCAATCTGGAGTACCAAAGATCAGTAAGAAAAACTTATGTGAGATAAAAATACGAATAGTATTATAATTATTTCAGCCTTTTGGTCGATAGGCTGTTATGCTGCTAAGAAAAGAATGGACCTGAACAACTGAACATATAATCCTAATCACTGAATATAACTGTTATGCACTAAGAACTACTTATGAATTTCAATGGAGCTCTAGACATTGGAGTCATGACTTCCGAGCAATTAAGTTTAATGAACGACGAAAAATCATACGCAACTAAAACCAACAATTCATATACCTCCACATCATTGTAATTAATCTAATAAATCAAGCAAATCTATGATATCGCTAAAAAGGATTATATCTCATAATTAATCATCATTGTCATATTACAACCAACTTTTTGAGCACATCAATACAATATTGTTGACCTTACGATCAAGCTCTATTTCACAATTATTTTTTCCAACATACACTTATTGGACTGCTTTCATAATACTCTCATTTCCATAATCATATTCACCAGTATCTTCATCATCATCGAGATCTTCTTCGAGCTCCGTTTCATCCTCAGCATTATGTTTAAAGCTAAGTGGTTTCAAGTATCTACGCTTGAGATACTTGTACCATATAGAAAACAGAATAAAGATAACATTTGAACCTAATACTAGGCCCCATTCGGCAGCACCGATTGGTGCATGTTTGAAGATATGTTCGGTTCTGAGTCAGAAAAAAATATGGAAGTTAGAATATAATCCGATAAACCAAATATACCGCATGGACCTGAAGTAGGTGAAACGAACCCAGGAATGTAAACGGCGGGTATTGATATCAACGCCCCGAAAACAATAGACCAGAACAAGAGCTTGTTCTCATAAAGACCCTTCAATCCCAGATTTCTCAAGTGACGACAATTGATGGCGTGAATAAGGATCATGAAAATTAGAGATAAAAAGGTTACAGATCTGCCACGGTAGACGGCCTGGAAAGAAGAAAATTAGTATTGGGAAAGATTAAACATTCTTAGGCTGTACATACATTACAGTTGCCACCAGGGAGAGCAGCAAGTGTAGAGGCGTTGTTGCAGTCGTCTCCAATTTTGCCCATGTTGCCGTCCCCCAAAACATAAATGACTAAAATCCAGTTCAACAGACTCAATATACCCATAAGTGTACCAAAGAAACTCAAATCTC